ACATATGAGTAGGTTACAATCCATATATTAAATTTACTATAGATCGGTACCATTTTGATACCAGTTCGATACCAGTTTAGTACTTTTTTAGAGTTCTAATACAGTCTGCCACCTAAGATTTTCTTTTACATCTTCCAGCCTCAAATTTGTAAACTTTTCAATAAAGTTATTTAATACTATACAAATTACTCATCGGAATACTGTGTCTCTGTCTTTTCTGGTTTTCTTTTTAGCCTATATGGCCTCAGAGGATTACTATTTGGAAAACAGATGGAATCTTATGTCCAGGAGTTGTTTCAATACCTTTAAACCAGAGTTGACAATCCAATCCTTTTTAGATAATGCCAGGCTTCAAGAATAAACTGCTTATTTAAGAGGGTGCAACTCCTCCAAAGTCAAGCTAAGTCTTAAGGGGAGTCTTCCATTCTGGCAAACGTTACCAACTGAATATCTTCACTACAGGTAAGAATAGTGAGTATTGCTGGCGAGTCGTCATTCTTCTTGCTGAAAAATTTCCAGTTTGTGACCCTTCATATTATATTTCTTTTATAGTCTTATAGACTATAAGAAAGAAAAACAGCCTATTTATGGAACTGGGGATTGTATCAAACTTGGCAATAATCATCGTAACACCAACCAGATGATCATTGCGCCATAACATATTTTCTGAAAATTACAATCTTAATGCCCGCTGGATTAGCATGTGAAATGGCTTTTCATGAGAAATAGCACTTAACAAGTTATGGCACCAGATACCATATTAATTCTTATTAAATCGCCCTCACATGGGGTTGAACTGGTATCTTGTGATTTGACCTGCGGAGTGTTAATCACTACATTACAGATCCACAGGTCTGAATTGGTAGATAGAGTTATTAGACTATAAATACATTTGGAATAATTATATTTAGATTAAATGAATAAGTTAGTCATGGTAGAAAGTAGATCAATAATGATATTATCTTGTGGATTATTGGAGATGTCTTTGGCTTGTGAGGTGTTTTTAGCTTTTGGATTAGCGGAATTGGTTGAGTTATGTATCTTGGTATGGTCCCACTTGATTCCAGTAAGAGGTGAAGTATTGGCTGTAGAGCAATGTGGTTTTCAAATTAGATCATGCAATAAGGACAAAAATTCTATTGCTGTCTTGATCCAGTTCATAGAGTCTGTAGTCGAAAAGATTTTGTCTATAACTTTATATGACAACTCAATAACTTGCCATATATGTGAGATCAGTTTATGATTATCGTCTGGATGGAGAGTTTGATTGATAGTTTTAATAATTTGCTCAGCTGCTTGTAATACTTCTGCACATTTGAAAACATGTTGAATGTCTTTCATATGAAGTTCATATCATAGACAGAGAGTATTTGAGTATTGATTAGGATATAACTGGTAAAGTATAAGACAGGTTGGAAGAGTTCCTAAGAGTAGTTTAATTCTGAAGGCTATTAAGATGCTGTATTTGTTATTATAGAGTTTTCTAATATTTTTGTTGGACTGGTTGATGACTTTTAAACTGTGTGGGGTATGTGTTTGTTTAAATGTTTGGACAACTGAAGAGTTTTCATATATCATATAGTCTCTGGTAATACTAAAAATTTTCTTGCACCATCTGATACTACTACCCAAACAAGTATTGTTGATTAGGGGGTTTTCTGAAAAGTGTAGTGAAGGATTGTTCCATTGGATGGTTCTGATTGATCTTGGTCTGGATTTTGGTTTGGTATATATAATCTCTATAGATTTTTGTTATATGTACCAATTTATTCTTTGAGACAATGAGGAGAAATCGATTTTAACCATTCTTTTTGAGTATTCAAGTACTGGTTGAAGGATTTTTTTGTTGTTTCTAATTTCGATAGTAGAATAAGCTGGGATTTCCTGTACGATGTCAAAGATTACCAATAAAATGTTGCCTGGTGATAAGCAGAAGTTGAGTAGTTTTACTTCAGTTTCATTTATAAATAGACTGTTCTTGTGGGATTGAATATAGTAATGTTGTTGCAGACCGAGGTCTTGTAATAATAATTGAAAAGAATAACTAGCAGAGATATTAACTTTTTGAAGAATGCGTTTATTATTTGGTGGAGAGTTGACAATTTTATCTATTATGTTGAGCAGATGGTATTTGAATCTATTGAGAAGATTGAAAGAAATCCATAGTGTGGAAGCAGACGTACTCATAAATGGTATTCAACAAAAATTATGGGAGGGTGTACCGATTGGGTAGCCTGAACATCTAGTGAGATTATTGTCAAGATCTATAGTGAAATGCTTTCCTTTGAGTGGTGTTCTTTCATCTATAAGAGTATATCTTTTGCGAGTCTTAACAACTGCATTAATGTTATGTAAGAATCAAAATGTTGTTTTAGGATTTGGTATTGGACCATGGGTTCCAGACAAGTTTTTAATATTTGCAAATGTTTTGAACCAATTGGGCTCTGGATCCAAGTGAATTATTCTTGTGTATGTAGTGAGCTGTGACTAGGAAAGTTTGGTGGTGTTATTGTACTTCAGCAGTTGATTAATAAACTTTATGTTGAGGACATTAGTTGTACTAATTGCTGTTTTTCTAAATTGTGACTGCATGTTGGTGAATAGAAAATATTAAAATAATATTATTAAAAGTTATAAAAGTTTAATATACCAATCGAGTTTTCCACGTTATCAAGATAAAGTAGACATTCTGCTGGACAAATTTGGATTTTGAGGTTCTTGACTGATTTTGCAGTATAAAAGATCCAGTTTTCCTAATTGAATTTCTCTAGGTCACAAATGGGACAGAACCAAATAGCATCTTTTATTTGGATGGATCAAATGTCTTATATTATATACTTCCTGATAAAGGGAATAGAAAGTTTGAAGATGAGGTTTTCTATTAGAGCAATTTTTTGCCTTTCTTTTAATACTGTCAAATTGAGGCCACTGCAGCTAATTAGGATTATATTGGGGCATTTTGATAAAATTTTGTATACTGACTTTACCAGTTTGTTGATTTTGGTTTGGAGTAAGTTAAGAGTTGTTTTGTTGAGGAATAAGGAGAGTAGAAAATACTCGAACTTTCCATGATGACCCAGTTGTTGATTTGTTGTTTGATTTCTCCTTTCCAATTGTGTTTAGTGAGCTCCTCAATTATCTGCGATGATGTTTGCAAGAATGCTTTTTTGTTGACTTTGTTAAAATTTCTGGAAGAGATTAATGTTCCAAGGTACTTAATACTTTCATATGGTTTGAGAATTTGGACATAGTAGTTGTCGAATCTGATGGTGCTCTGAGTACCATGCTTTACTCTGATATTATTTATTATTATTTTTTTCTTTTTATTACATGTGATATTGTTCAGTACAAAAAATTGGTTGGCTACATTTAAAAGATTTTCCATTTTTTGCTTGGAGTCTGCAATAAGGGCTAGGTCATTCATATATGCAAGTGTGTTGAGAGCCACATTATATTTATATTATTTTTTATATATATTATTCTATTTATATATTTAAAGATTGTATTTTTTCTTTATCTTTAAAGTTGTCTACTTCACTTTCTATTAATAAAGTTTTCTATTAATAATGAAAAACTATTAATGATCAATATATTCCTTTACTTAAACCATTACAATAAAGCACATGGAAATTACGTGTCTTGTTTATATTTCTTGTTATATGTAAATCAATCAGTCTAAATTTCTAACCAATTATTGTTTAGAAGTTTCAATATAACAAAAAATTCAGAGTCAAATTAAGATAAGTAAAATTATTCAAAAAAATTAGAAAAAGGTATATATACTTGAGAAAATAGAAAAAAAGCTTGAAGAAAATGAAAGAAGAGTTTCAAACATTAGTAATAATCTTCTCTAAAGTCTTAAATATTTTTAAAAAAAGAAGAAATATGTTTTTTCTATAGGTTCTTTTTTATAACAAAATGTTCTTGTCTTTAACTTTATAGATAAGTTTTTCTTGTATTTACTTATAAAAATACAAAAAGTTTATGTTAAAGAAGAAGAAAAATAAGTAGGGAAAGATTAAAGTCTTTAAATATTAATGTTATTAGAGAGTGTATATAGACTTTGTTATAGAGAAATATAAAATTTTTTTGGAATGTCTATTTTTTGAATTGACAAGAGAATCAGCAGAAAAATATACTATATATTATTTGTTTTTTGTAAAGATTCAATAAACAATATATACTTGTTTAACTATAAAAAAAAATATTTTAGTATTTTATAAACTTATCAAGATATTTAATTAACTTTTTCTTATAAACTGATATATAAATAAAAAAGACTTTTTTAAAAAAAAATCCAACTTAGATAACAGAAAAATTCTTTGTTTTTTTAATTAAATTGATAATAGATATAAACTATATTATGTATTAAAAAGTAATCCTTTATAAATAAAAGTTTGATTAGTAACTGTTCTGATTTTTTAAAAAAAATCTTATTATTATTATTATTATTATTAGAATCACAAAATTATTTTATTAAAGTTTTACTTAAATTAAATAAATATTTATTGAATTATAATAAAAAATATTAGTCCAAAGACTTTTGCACCATACTGTATATATACTGTATATAATATATTAAAAATCAAATTATTATATCGAGTGTAATGACTCCTATGCATTCTAATTTCTCTAGTCACCTGACAATGATATCAGAGGCGGAGTCCAATCAGAAATGGTGGTCGCGTTGTTTATAAAAAACCGTTTTTCACTATCGTTGTCTCCTAAATTTCGTCTATCTGAAAAACTCTATGAATGTCTCTATTATCCTGGTAACTACTTTATTTACGCTTTGTTACTACTTTGTATCAATGGTACGAGTAAAGCAAGAGCTGATCTCAACATTCTCAATAGATTACTGGGATAGAGATCCCAATTTGTGGGGAGACGTGGTTGACTGGGATATTTACTTTGCTAAGAAAATGCCTTCTTGCACGTCTCGAGATTCACATATGGCCCTGTCTGTCGAGTTGGATTCAATTCTTAAAAAAATTTCTACTGATAACTTTGCGTACAAGAAGGCTTCGGTTCTTCGCGCCGCCCTAAAGGTCAAGTATTTTTCTGTGACAAACTCCTGGCAAAAGGATATGTGCTACGCCCCGCGACTACGGTCGACTGCTCAGTAGCCTGCGGCCTACTTGGGGGGGGAAGAAGAGTGTTATGGTTTGGGCTCTTTAGGCTCTAAATAAGCCAACCTGACATGCACGTATCATTATGTTGGGAGTACCTAACCACACCCTGCGACTGCGGTCGAGCGACTTTGTCGCGGAAGGCAACCTGCGGCTTGCTTGAAATGGGAAGTGTGATATGATTAGGATCATTATAGATTTAGATCATTATGATCAATTATATCTTGCGCGGTTAGACATAACAGGACAACTGTTATAGCCCCTGAACACTTTACAATTTTATAGACACTTATCAACGTTTGCTTCTCTTATTCTTTGTCCTATCCAGAATGGTGGTGGTAAAATCGACAAATTTTGGAAGAAGCATGTGAATAACATAAAGAAGATTGGTCTCGATAATCGGATCATCAAGGTGTGTGCATGTGTTGTCTTCCACTTGGATCTTATGTGAATCATAATATTTATGCTTTTCTTTCTTTTTATCATCGACGTCTAGGAAAGGATTATTAACGTTGCAATGCATGCGGCAGAAGAAGAATTTACCAAAGAGTATTCACGTAATTCCAAACATGAATCGAGCGCTCTCGACGATGAGGAATATCAAAGCAGCAATGACGAAGAGATTTCTCTCGTGCAGGTGGAACACGGTTCGAAAATATTTGCTCTCGTGCCTCGATTTCTTGATTCGGTTAATTCTCCACTGCTGACGTTTCTTTTGCTTTTTTATCTAAGATGTACTTGGGATTTGCGAGGAAACAATGAACAATAAAATGAAGGTGAGCGACGTTATGCCGAAGCTTTTTAAAAATTGATCTTTCTTTTAACATTCTATTTATACACTCTAGGAAGTAAAAAAGTCTGGATCGTCCACCACTAGAGCAAAACGTAAAGATCGATATGAAAAGCCTGGAACACAAGAGGAATCAGCCGAGGTTTCTGCTAGCAAAAGGTCTCGGCAAGAACAGGTAGATGAACAAATACATATCTAACATGACCGATGCATTATACCGTAGAGTACTAATACCTATCTGCATCCGCCTTGATAGCGCTATGCAGGAATGGACCAGAGTCGGTTCTGGGTTCTACGCTCTGGGCGTTCGGTGGAAGAGATCCTCCAAAGAGCTTGCCTCCAGGAAGACGCGACGGTCATGATACGGTCCTTTACTATCGATTTCTCTTGCGCAGTAACAGAGAATTTGTTCAGTGAGGATGAATGGGAGGAGATTATGGAAAAGAATGTCTTTGAGTTACCGGAGTTGCCTCCCTCAACCATCAGTTTTCTGTTGAGGATGAAGAAGGCATTGGTCAAAAGGGACCCTGCATGTCAAGTACCACTGCCAGACATTGACAAGTTTGCCTGCACTTTGGTCCAGGATTCCTGCAAGATTTGGTACAATGATCATGACATGTTTGCAGCGTATGTGGTATGACAACAGGGTACAGATTACTAACAACAACTCTCCTGGCTTGTCCGTTATAGGCAGAGGCTCTACAGCAAGACCCCGTCACTGTTTAGTATGAATGATCTTTCGGAGGCTTTTTGGGCTCACAATTCTTGGCCATTGCTGACCGAGCTCCTGGACGACATGGACAATCTGTGTATGATTGATAGGGAAAAGTCAGGCATTGAGAGTGGAAAGCGACGTAACTCTGATCGGAAATATCACTCCGATACTCAAACACCAAAAAAGCGAGTTGGACGGAAGGTTGATTTAGTCGTCCGTGATGTTGTCCAAAAAAAAGATTACATGATTGTGGAGCGCATGAAGGACTGGGATGAATATTCCACTAAATTCCTCAAGGAGACAAGTGTTGATTTGTTTCGTGAGACGCACACCATTATGATGCACAGACTACAAGATACCGGAAATGAAGAGCTTTGGGACAAAGGTCGATTTTTTGGCATCCATACGGGCAGTAAGTACAATTACAATTTTTTTTTTCCTGCGACTAAACATTATAATAATACTTGTACCATAGGCCGTGGATTCCAAACATTTGAGCTGCGACCAGCAGGAGGCCTGTCATATGTGTCTTTGTTTCATGGATACCCTATATATCAACTGCCTACCTCAATTCAGGACATGAAGCCACAAATCCAGGGCCTGGTCCATATTCTCCAAGTTCGCGTATGTGTTGACATTTATCTCGTTGCAAAGAGATGTTTAAACCAAGTTGTTGACTAGTGCGTATTGTCTTCACTTCTTTAGCAATTAATGTCGGATACGATAACTCTGGATCGCAGACATCCGAGAATGAGGGGGGACGGAAAGCAGGAGGATTCCAACTGGTATGGCTCAACCTACACTCGACTAGACGCCTCTATTAATCTCGTGTCGTCTCCCCTCGGCCCGGAATAAGGCGGCATGAATGCAAGAAGTCTTCATCTTCTAATAAAGAAGGCAAAATTGGTCCAGATCTTTTGCAAGAATTAATGATAATGGAAAATATATTATTTTCCCAAATTATATAAACATGCGTAAAACTCAAGCTCCCAACATCTATCACCTTGAAACTAGTGTTAGTGATTTAAAATCTGAAGACGGAATATAAAGTTAAAACAGAGCACAAAACTAATTTAGAGAAAGTAGAGGTTATGTTTTTGGCTTGTTTACTCTAATTATCTTATGTGGTGGATATAGAAAAATTAAATAATGCTAATAAGATACAGCAAATAAAATTTTTAAAATTTTAGATATGAAAACTTAATGGAATTCAACATATAGTATAATTGCATATATTATATAGCTAAAAACAGTAAGTTCTAATATTATTATTTAATATTCATTTAATATAATTTTAAATAATTTGTATTTTTAAACAATTACATATCTTATAATATCAAGTCAAGAATTAAAAAATTATATATTTACAGATAGCAATTGAAATATGTTTATATAAATTGCAGAATTTTAAAGTTTTTTTTTTGTAGGCAAACATATGGCTCCTAATAATACCACTTTGATACTTAAATTTATTATAAAAACATATGAGTAGGTCACAACTCATATATTAAATTTACTATAGATTAATATTATTTTGATATTAGTTTGATATCAGTTTGGTACTTTTCGAAGTCCTAGATAAATATCATTTATTTATTTTATTTGTATATAACAATGTATATATCATTAAAAAAACAATATCTTTTATATGTTGATACAATGAGTTAAATACTAGCTTGCCTACAGTAACCATATAACTAATATTGAAAAGAAAGTTTAAAATAATATATTTTGTTATATGGCACCAAGCAGCTATGAATACCTATTTAGTATTAAGAGAAATGATATTTGAAAGAGATAATATTAAGTTTTGAATACATTTATCAAAATTATAATTACTGTATATTGAATAAAAGAGTTAGTAACAATTATTGATAAGTTTAGATAATTTTGTTTTTGATAATAACAAAGTGTAAGCTTTCTATAGAGACAGTATAGTTAGGGTTCCGATTGATACTATTCAGTATGGTATTTCATAAAACCGATACCAAAAATATTTTTCGGTATCGGTACTGGTAATTACCGAAAATTTTCAGTACGAAACTTTGCAATACTGATACTGAACTGAAAGTACTGAAATTATCAAAATTAAATAAGTTTATATTTTTAATATAGCATATATTTATCATGTACAAAAATAATATAACTCAA